GGGGGGGGGGGGGCTGCCTGTTGATCTCTCCGTCGTGCGCCCCCATACTGGACCCGGCGCGAGGGAATGTGGCCCCCGGTGGCCGGCGTACTGGGCACTGCTCCCCCCTCCCCCATTGCCCTCCCTCGCCGTGGCCGCTCCCCCTTCCCTTGTTTCGGCTCCCGGCCCCCAGGCGCCTGACAGACTGTGTCCGGCTAGGCCCCCCTCCGCTTGTGGTGTCAGAGACCCAAATCCATTGGCAGCAGCAGGATGACCAGATTATATGCCCATTTACCGCATGATCACGCAACTTCACCGTTACTTTCTCGCGTGCCGTGCTCCATCTTTGAATCTCATTCTGGTTGTGGCCGTTGTGTGGTGGGGAAAGCCACCTCGAGTGGGACGGGGCGGGGGGCAGGGGGGGGGAGGGCTGAGCCCCGAGAGACCCAGCGGCCCTACCTCTCTCCGGCCTGGACATGCGCCCCCGCTGGAGGAGGCCGCCTTGCACGATCCCTCGGGGGGCGATCTTGCGTGTGCAAATATCGTTGGGGATTGATCCCGATCGCCCGGAGTGTGCGCGCGTGTGCGCGCGTGTGCGCATGTGTGTGTGTGCGTGTGTGTGTGTGTGTGTGTGTGTGTGTGTGCGCGTGTGCGCATGTGTGTGTGTGTGTGTGTGTGTGCGCGTGTGCGCGTGTGTGTGTGTGTGTGTGTGTGTGTGTGGAGGTGTGTGAAGGTGGCCCCCCCCCACTTTCGTTCACGGCCCTCCAACTGTTGGGGGGCTGCCGCCACGATGGGGCGCCCGAGGGAGGACGCCCCCTCCCCAACCCGGACCCACGGCCTCGCGGCTACGCATAAAGCCACCCGACCCTGGTTGGTGCCTGTTGTAGCCAAGACATGCGTCACCGCTCCCCCATCTCCTCTCTGGCCCGCCTCACAGAACTTTCGCCCTCTCTTGCCCCTCCCCTCCTTGCCTCATTCGCCCAATGAGCTCTCCCATCCCGCCCGGCGGAAGCCCTCCCCCGGCCGACCGCTTGCCCCTGGCGGCGGTGACCGTGCCGGACAGCCAGAGCGACAACCTTGGCTCCGATGGCGACGTCCTGATGCAGCCCCCCTCTTCGGAGGGGCATATGATGCTTCCCCCTTCATCCGCCTCCTCGGCCGGAGTGTTGGCCTCCGATCTGCCGACCTCCTCCGGAGCACATGAGCCGTCGAGCCCCTTCTCGACTTTCGTTGCACCATCGAGCCCTGGCTCCGAGGCGGTCCCCTTTGCCATGGCCACGTCTGCGTCCTCCTTCTCCAGCGGGCTGCCCTCCAGCCCCACCTCCTCGCAGATGATCCCCTCACAGTTCGGTATGTGCCACCACTCCTGTCCCTTATGTCTGGCCAATGTACAAGCATGTTGACACGCCCGCATGCCCGCCCGCACGCACGCCCACGCGGCCCCCCCCCCTCCCCCCCCCGTGCCCCTGCCTCCGGCGGCCTCCTCGCAGAGCTGACCACGTCGCCGTCCTCCTCCGGTCTGATGGCCTTCGCCCGGCGCATTCGCTCGACTCGCTCCAGTCACCCGCCCTCCTCGGCCGAGCATAGCCAGCCTCCCTCGTCTGGCGGGCTGACCGATGGCCTGGGCAGCCTGGGCAGCCTGGGCAGCGTGGGCTTCAGCGCCATGTCCGGCTTCGGGAGCACCGGCTACGGTTTGATGTCTGACGCTTTGACCAGTGTGCGTCCTGTGCCCCCCCCCCCCCCGCCCCCCACCATAGGATGTTCTCCCTCGCCCGCTCCGCCGCCGGTGCTGTCGCCCGCAACGCCGCCCAGGCGTCCGCCGTCCGCGGCATGTCCTCCATCCCTGCGGTACGCCTCCCCTCCCGGTCCCACATACACACACGCGTGCGGGTGCATACATGTGCATCGCTGACCCCAGGCTTCTCCCCCCATCCGCCCTCTCCGCCATACAGTGGGTCAACGGCCTCAACGAGAAGCTCGAGACCGCCGACCCCGAGATGTTCGACATCATCGAGCACGAGAAGCTGCGCCAGCTGTCCAGTATCGACCTGATCCCGTCCGAGGTACGCCCCGCCGGTCCGCTGTTCCCGCCCGCCCGCCCGCCCGCCCGTCCGCCCGGCGCCCCGACCAGCCCGCGGCCCACTGACGCGATGATGACGCTGATCGTGGCCATGCCGCGGCGCATGATGACCCCCCGCTCCCCCGCCCGCGGGCCGGCAGAACTTCACCTCCCAGGCCGTGCTCGACGCCCTGGGCTCCGTCATGCAGAACAAGTACTCCGAGGGCTACCCCAACGCCCGGTACTACGGCGGCAACGAGTTCATCGACCAGAGCGAGCTCCTGTGCCAGAAGCGCGCCCTGGCCGCCTTCAACCTCAACCCCGAGGAGTGGGGCGTCAATGTGCAGCCGCTGTCCGGCTCCCCGGCCAACCTTTGCGCCTACGGCGCCGTGCTCAAGCCCCACGACCGCATCATGGGCCTGGACCTGCCCCACGGTGGCCAGTGCGTGCCTCCCTGCGCCCTGCCGCCGGCATCGGCCCCCGCCCACGCACGCCCGGTGTGCTGACCGCCCCCTCGCCCTCTTCTCCCCCCCCCCCCCCCCCCTCCCACACACACACACACACACACGCGCGCGCGCGCACGCAGCCTGAGCCATGGCTACCAGACCCCCACCAAGAAGATCTCCCACATCTCGGTCTACTACGAGACCATGCCCTACCGCCTGGACACCGAGACCTCGCTGATCGACTACGACACCCTGGCCAAGACCGCCACCCTCTTCCGCCCGAAGATGCTGGTCGCCGGCATGTCGGCCTACTCGCGCCACTACGACTACAAGCGCATGCGCGAGGTGGCCGACTCCGTGGGTGCCTACCTCCTGTCCGACATGGCCCACATCAGCGGCCTGGTCGCGGCCGACCTGTCCACCAACCCCTTCGAGTATTCGGACTTGGTCACCACCACCACGCACAAGCTCCTGCGCGGCCCGCGTGGCGCCATGATCTTCTACCGCAAGGGCAACTACACCGACACCCAGGGCAAGGGTGCGTGCCGGATTGCGCCAGGCCTCGTGGCCTGCTTCCCTGTCCTCGCTTTTGCCCTGCCTGCCCGGACCGCTAACGCCATCGGCTCCTCCAATCGGCCTGCCATGCATTTGCCCCC